AAGGAAGCATGTTATCGGAGGACCACCGCACCACAGTATCTATCGCATGCTGGAGTTGGGGAGAAGCTGCTCCATTGACTGGATAATAGACCTTTAAGTCATCGGCAAACATTTTAAGCTGAACACCTGACTTCACCACTAAGGACAGAAGATCGAAAGTGTAAATATTAAATAATACAGGGGATAGGACGCTGCCTTGGGGGACACCACTTGGGGCATCTCGAACTTTTGACAGTGAAGTACCAACTCGGAACTTGGAAAGTTCGCTCCTTCAAAAACCCTCTAATCCAATGATGATTCTATCGTGGATGCCCACCTGCCCAAGTTTATGGAGCAAAATAGTATGGTTAACTTTGGCGAAAGCTTTTTGAAAATCGAAAAAGACGACATCGTGGTTATTTTTACCATCCAGTACAGTTGTCCAGTCGTTTAGCGCTTATAACATGAGTGTAACCGTCGACCTCTTCTCTCTAAAGCCATGCTGATGTCTGGACAGAATTTGCTTGGTCTCTAGATGATGGACAATAACTCTTTTGAGGATTTTTTCAAACAACCTGCAAAATATTGAGGTGATACTGACAGGTCGATAATTATTCGGATCACTAAACGGGGCTTTTTTCCTGATAGGGACTACATAGGCGTGACGCCAGCATCGAGGAACCACTGCATGAAAAAACATCAAGCTTATACAGAAATTCAGTGGAGTTGATATACTACCAGCAGTTTTTTTGATAAAGACAAAAGGTATTCCATCGGGGGTATACGAGGAGCCAACCGCAACATCCTACCGCTCAATGCGTTTTCCACCAGTTGTAGGGGTTTTCTGAGTAAACAACCGTCATGCATCTGAACTCCGGTTGCTTTAGCGGCCGTACATGATGTCGATAGCGGTAAGAGCATAGGAGTGAGTTGTGTACGAACTACTGAGAGCCTGATACCTGTCATATCAATCGCATTGTGGCAGTAAGCGGTGTTGCGGATTCCCGCATGATGACGCTTTCAACCCTTATCAGTTGCTGTCACTTACAAGGGAGGTCGTTCAGGGCGTGCCCCGCTTTTTCGAAACGGTTTATTGCACTTTGTAGGGCCTTGCCCATGAACCATAAAAGTGGGCTTCGTTTTGGCTGAGCGGCCCCTGGAATGCCAAAAAAGGAGCGAAAAGAAACCTATGGAAACTGATTGTTTTTGAGCCTCTACGAGCTGTAAACCGCTTGAAACTTTGACCAGTTGCTGAATGGAGGGACCCTATAAAGGTACTATCGGAATCGAAGAGAAAAGTAGTCGGGGTATGGGGTCTTACTTGTGGCACGTAATCAAGCGTGAACGGCTTCATGGAATGGTTTCTTCAACGATCGGAGGAATGTTCAGCAACAACGATCGGATGGCCTAGTGGATAGCGTGAAGGATTCTCAAGCGGACAGTTGGGGTGGGGTTGATGGTTCGACTCCCCTCGGCGTGCGAGTTTTTGCATTTTTTATGTTTTGCTGTTTTCGCGTTCAAATATGTCTGTGCGTGAGTATGCGTTCGATAACTGCCATTTATGGGCACATTTTAAATGGGAACACTCCATGAATCAGTGCTATTCAATTCAGGTGACAGTCACGACGGACGCACACGGGACGACGCAACACACACACTGCCAGACTAACCTTAGTGAAATTATATGGAGCAGAATACACTGTTGCTACAAGCACTGAATCAGTTCTGCAACCTAGCTTCTGTAGAGAAATGAGGTACCCAAACTCGCATCCTCTAACCGTCTTCAATTTTTCAGACATAACCCGGTCAACGATAACAGGGTCTGGAGGATGCTCTCAGCCGTCTCGCCTTCCTCTGTGATAGACATTCGAACCTCGACTTGATTGACTCGTTTTGCTTGTGCAGGATGAACATTATGGGACCCTCCTCAGCCGCAACTTTTTTTCGTTCTTCGCTTCTTTTAGCTTCAGTGCAAAATCTCCCCTATTCGGTTCCGATACAGTTATGCGTAAGGTGCAGCACAGGATGAATTTGAGTTCCAATATGAGCCCGATTTCATAATAAGGAGCTGGTTCCAGTCACTCGGGTTTCTTTCCAATTTCTCGGCAAGCTCCTCCGTGGCTATGTTGAATTTCATGTACAGGTAGCTAAATGTACTGGCTTTCAAATGAAATGGGAGCCAATAGCCTTAGCCCCTTTGCTTTCCTGCCATTCCTCTGTATGCCTTCAGGGTTTTGAATAAGATGACCTAATGTAAGCGTGGGAAACATCTTCCTTAAGAGGAACTTCTATTTTCTCTTAACTTTCTCGTTTCAATCTGCTGAATAATATTTTTCTTTGCTTCTTTTTGCTGGGCTCGTCATTTACTATGCTAGCGCAACCGTGTTGTACAACGCTACAGCATGATGAATATCTTGTACCATTAACTGTATGCTAGCGCACCGTGTGTACAAGTAAGCATGTGAATAAACGGACGAACATCTATAAATGAGTAATTGAAAAAGATTCGTACTGGGAATGTGTTGAGTTCCGAGGTTCAAAATAATCTGTTTCAGATAGGGCCAGCACTGAGGTCCTGTGCTGTCAGAGTTCATCGTGCATTTTATTTCACCAGTGGATCACCCGGCTGCCGCCGGGTGCTCCTCCTTCTTTGTCACGGCCCGGCTTCGCCGGGCCGGCCTGGCTTCGCCAGGCACTCTTTCCTTAGGCGAGGTAGAGTGTGCAAAATACGCCTAACCGTCACAGTGCATTTTCTAGAAAATGTGTCCTTTACTCAACCCTACATCGTATGCTTGGAAACCACTCCTATAACATGAGTGTAACCGTCGACCTCTTCTCTCTAAAGCCATGCTGACGTCTGGACAGAATTTGCTTGGTCTCTAGATGATGGACAATAACTCTTTTGAGGATTTTTTCAAGCAACCTGCAAAAATATTGTTGGTGATACTGACAGGGCGAAATTATTCGGATCACTAAACGGGGCTTTTTTCCTGATAGGGACTACATAGGCGTGACGCCAGCATCGAGGAACCAATGCATGAAAAAACATCAAGCTATATAGCAATTTCAGTGGAGTTGATATACTACCAGCAGTTTTTTTGATACAGACAACAACGTCATTTCATGCGGGGTATATACGAGAGTCAACCGAGCAACATCCTACCGCTCAATGCGTTTTCCACCAGTGTAGGGGTTTTCTGAGTAAACAACCGTCATGCATCTGAACTCCGGTTGCTTTAGCGGTCATACATGATGTCGATAGCGGTAAGAGCATAGGAGTGAGTTGTGTACTACTACTGAGTTGTGGACTACCAAGAGCCTGATACCTCTCATATCAATCGCATTGTGGCAGTAAGCGATGTTGCAGATTCCCGCATGATGACGCTTTCAGCATTTATCAGCTGCTGTCACTTACAAGGGAGGTCGTTCAGGGCGTGCTCCGCTTTTTCGAAACGGTTTATGCACTTTGTAGGGCCTTGCCCATGAACCCGATTGGCTAAAAGTGGCTTTCGTTTTTGACTGTCGCCCTAGAATGCCAAACAGGATGTGCCGCGGGGGAAAAGAACCCTATAGAAACTCGATTGTTCTTTGAGGCCTCTACGAGCTGTAAACCGCTTGAAACTTTGACCAGTTGCTGAATGGAGGGACCCTATAAAGGTACTATCGGAATCGAAGAGAAAAGTAGTCGGGGTACGGGGGTCTTACTTGTGGCACGTAATCAAGCGTGAACGGCCTCATGGAATGGTTTCTTCAAACGCATCGGAGGACATGTTCGCATCCTGACGATCCGGAGGCTAGTGGATAGCGCTTCGAAGGATTATGAAGCGGGACAGTTGGGGTGGGGTTGATGGTTCAACTCCCCTCGGCGTGCGAGTTTTTGCATTTTTTATTTGCTGTTTTCGCGTTCAAATATGTCTGTGCGTAAGTATGCATTCAGAATAACAGCCATTTTATGGCATTTTAAATGGGAACACTCAATGAATCAGTGCTACTTCAATTATTACAGGTTTTACATACATTAAGCAAGACCGTAATTGAAAGTTGACCTTTATAGGTCAGACCATGCCCGAATCACGAATATGGAACTTATTTGTACTACGGTGCCATTTATCGCTAATATGGAGTGACATGTTTCTCCCAATGAATGCGTTTGCTACACACAAGTAAGGGATGTGTAGCGCTACCCAGGCGCCAAATTACGTCGGTCCGCGAAAAAAGCGGCAAAGTATGTCGGGCCATCGATTACCCCTGTAAACAATCTTTCGGCCAAAAATTTTTTTTCGACTTTTTTTGGGTGTGTGCGTTGGGTTGTGCCCGGCAGTCTCTCTATAGAAGCTCTACAGTGCCTCGCCAAAGGGACCCCCTATTTTATTAATATTCAAAGATAAAAGTAACAATGCCGATGAAATACATGCAAAGAGGAAGGAAAGGGAGGCATTCACAGGTTTGTTGTTGTCGCTGCCGCCTGAGCTACGTTCCGTGCGTTTCGTCATCGTCTTTACGAAGATGGGATATACTTCGCGTCACTCCGCCGCACAAATGTCCACCTAAAATCCCACACGCAATCGAAAAAATTTCTTGCTGGGAAGTCGCGTCCACTAAGGACAATCGTGCGTCCTCATTACGTATTTTACACACCTTAATTTCGATGGTCGACGCAAATTTGGCGCCAGTATAGCGCTTAACGTCCCTCGTATGGGGGTACATAGACGTAACTTTCACTCCTTTTTTGGCATTCCAGGAGCCGCACAGCAAAAAACGAAGCCCACTTTTACGGTTCATGGGCAAGGTCCTACAAAGTGCAATAAACCGTTTTGAAAAAGCGGGGCACGCCCTGAACGACCTTCCTGGTTAGTGTCACCCGTCAGTGGGTTCCCGCCCTCTTCCCCCTATACCACTTCATTGAACGAAGGTCCCACAGACGCTGCAACCTGCCCTACAAAGTTGGTGACCCTCCACATCCTTACCGAATCTTATCAGATGTTATCAGCTTCTGCCACACACCAATCATATCCACTTTCCTTACGCGTATAAACCACATCGTGAAATCAAGGTCCACGGTCGCTGTAACTTGCGCTAAGAATTTGGTGACACCCGCGTCTAGGGCCTCTTATCGGACCTTATCGGATGTTAACAGCTCCTGTCAGTCACCACCCTACCTTGTATATCCCTTCTTGCAAACATGGGGGGGTGGGGCCGAACGCTGCTGTAATTTGCCACGAATTCGGTCAGCCCTTCCCTAGCCAGGGACCCCTATATCGAAAACCTTATCAGGTGTTATCACTTCCTTTCACCCACCAAAAGTGTTCCCATCCTGCCTTGTATATCACTCCTTGAAATCAAGGTCCCGCAGCTGCTGCAACTCGCGCTACCGATTTTCGGTTCACCCACTCCCTTTAAGGCCCCTTATTCGAATCTTATCACGGATG